CTAGATAAGACGGAGGCCCTGTTATTCCATGGGCCCCGTCGTGGTCCACCCCCTGGCGCCTCAATAGTGGTCAACTCGGTCCTCGTACCGGTTCGGGCCCAGATGAAATATCTGGGCCTGATCCTCGACGGGAGGTGGCTCTTCGACGAGCACTTCCGACAGCTTGCTCCAAAGCTGGTCGGCGCTGCGTCTGCCCTAGGGCGACTTTTGCCCAATATGGGTGGACCCAGCGTCGCGACAAGACGGCTGTACACGGGGGTTGTCCGGTCAATGGCACTGTACGGTGCACCGGTGTGGGCGGCGGCTCTGACCGCCCAGAATAGGGTACGCCTCTGGCGCCCTCAGAGGGTAATGGCGGTCAGAGCCATACGCGGTTACCGCACCGTTTCGACGGAGGTGGCGTGCGCATTGGCCGGAACTCCCCCGTGGGATTTGGAGGCGGAAGTGCTCGCCGAGGTTTATCGGCGAGTGGCTGACTTCCGGGCGGAGAGCGGATTTCGCCCTCCGCCCGAGGATGTGCGCGAGTGGCGCGAAGCCGCTCGCCGAGCCACGATGGCTCGTTGGTCGTTCCGGCTGGAGACTCCACGCGCTGGCTTCGCCGCCGTGGAGGCTCTCCAGCCGGTCATCGCCGAGTGGGCAGGGCGGCAGCACGGGACCCTTTCCTTCCGGCTGACGCAGGTGCTTTCCGGGCATGGTTGCTTCGGAAAGTACCTGCACACGGTCGCTAGGAGGGAACTGAGTCCCGCCTGCCACCACTGCGACTGCAGTGAGGACTCGGCCCAGCACACGCTGGCGGTCTGCCCCGCATGGGCGGCGCAGCGCCGGGCCCTCACTGCAGTCATCGGAGTGAATCTCTCGCTACCGGCCGTAGTACGCTCCATGGCCGGTAGCGACAGTTGTTTTACCGCGGTCGCAACCTTCTGCGAGGTAGTAATCTCGCGGAAGGAGGCGGCGGAGAGGGCCCGGGAGGACGACCTCCACTCGGACCCGATCCGCCGCCGGCGAACCGGGCGGCGGAGGCCCGCCTACCACAGCCTCATGCCGCCCTGAGTGTGGCCGCGGGTGGACGGGGTGGGTTTCCCCTCCACCCGCATTAGTTTGGCCAGCCGCGAGGGGGCGGCGTCCGCGTGTGCCGGACGTCGCCTAAAGAGAGGAACAAAAACATAGAGACGGAGCCCGCACCAGGAGCGGGCTGGCGCTAGGAGGGGTCCGGATGTCTTAACAACAGCTGTTCCCGGATCCCTCCTGTTACAGGCGCAGAGTGGCACACCGTGTGGTTTTAGTCGGTCCGAGTCCGACACACCACCCCGCCGCAAACCCCGGAGGGGTGACGGTCCGAGGGGATTTCCACACGTTAAAAAAAAAAAAAAAAAAAAAAAAAGGGTTTGTGTCAAGTTTTCCTTCTCTTTGCAGTGCTGGTGTCCTGCGTTGTTTTGCGCCCTTAGTCGCCTCTTACGACACCCACGGGATGAATTGGGGTAGTGACATTCCGTATTCTTAATATGTCACAATATAGAATTATGAAGCTTTAAAATATATTTCTTCTGTGATCTTCAGTAAATTTACATTAATTTTATTTGTAAAGAATTTCGTATGTTATGTGTTCGTAAGAAATTATAAACTTTTAACATCATAAATTTATACAAAACACTGTCATTTTGTTACCAGATTCTTTTTTTGTTTTTAGTTACTAGACTAGATTCTAGTCGAGTAATTAACAAAATTCTAGAAACTTATTTGTGAAATATTTTTCCCATTCAAATTTTATTGCCTTTTTCTACTAGGAAGGGTTTTTAATCAACGCTTTTCTCACGCGTTTGTATATAAATAATTCATATAATGCTAGTTATAACAGCGAAGCTTTTATAGAAATTATGTATAAACAATGTCCTCACACGGGAACGTCAGCAGACCGTAACACAATGTGTATTATCTGGCAATCCAAGATGGCGATACTGTTTACCATTTCACATTTCTCACACAACTAGAACCAATAGCCAATGTTGGCTAAGTTTTTGCTGCCACAAAGAAAGTGTGTGTAGTTTCAATTATAAAACATCAACTAAAAGCTCTATGTTAATAAAAACAAACTGAAAAAACTTAAAATTCAATTGAACTTGTATACTATGTAACCTTCTAAGAGGTATTTCTTAAAGGAATAAGTATGTCTTTGCAAGATAGATTGTTTCCTGAACGTATTAAAAAGTATTTTGATCTTTGTCACTATGATTAAAAAACATTTAATTTTATCATAATGTGTGTAATATTTGCATAAACCTTCTATAAAACAAACTAAGTTATTTGATCGAAAACATAAACAGTTAGGTATATTAGTATTTGGAGTCTATTTTATATTTTAAATCAATTTAAATCAAAAGTAGCACATATTTGTGGTCGTTTTTCTTTTCACGAACTTACAAATTTGGTTATTCCTTAATAACTGGCTTAATATCGAAACTCGGATGTTGTATATAGCGTGATGTGCTGCTCGGGGATAGCTGGGGCTGATTCGTCTTCCTCAGACAGTGAAAGGTCATTACTTGAGGGCAGATGTCCTTGTTATTAATATGATAGTGTTTTGTATGATAAAAATAACAACAAACAGACAAAAACTAGTTTTCTATTAAACGAAAGATCAACATCTGCCTACCCTTTTCCCAATTTTATTTGGGGTCGGTGCAGTATGTATGATTTTTCCATTCTACTCTGTCATGCGTCATCTCACTGTTTACTCCCTTCCTAGCCATATCCTCCCTCACGCTGTCCATTCGCCTTTTCTTCGGTCTGCCTCTTCTCTTGTACCCTTCAACTCCCATACCTAAAACTTTCTTCGCCACATTTTCCTCATCCCTCCGCATGACATGTCCATACCAAGATAACCTATTACTTCTTAACTTTTCATCCAGTGGCGCTACTTTCAGACTCCCTCGTATATACTCATTCCTAACCTTGTCCATATGAGTCACACCACACATCCATCTCAGCATTCACAACTTAAATGAAAACTACGGTTTCATAGATGTCTCCCTATTTTTATTTCAAAATTCAATAATTGAGTTGAGACTGCCAGTTAAAATTTGTAATATTAATTATTTACAGTACAAATTAGTAAAACTTAAAAAAATTAAAACGCGTGACAAAGCATTTTTTGAAACTAGAATTCTGCATACATTACAGCGGCCTGAAGAAAAAAAATTATTATTGTTAGTTAATGACCAGGTAGTCCTCTTTTTTCTTATTTCAAATAGATTCAATTTCGCGGTTGGTGCTTTCACTAATCTTGTACTGTTGACAAACATTGGTCCAAGTTTGGCTCCATGTTTGATAGACGTTGGACAGACACTGCTTCCGAGTCCGCACGGGTAATTAAACAGATTGCATTGTTATTGCAGTAGTGGGGAAACTTTTTGCTCCATGTTATTCTGCTAAGTATTCATTATCTTTATTTGCAGTGCAACGAGAGCTGAGAAATGAAGTCCAATTGAAAATTGTACCTAAACTAACTGGTATAAGGTTTCAAATATAGGTGTTACATTTTTATAAAGACGACACTCGCATTAAGAATATTTCATGTGTCTCGGGGGCTTAACAAACATATCTACATGAATCAGACACAAGGAACACCCAGACTCAAAACAACAATTTGTGGACACACAAAGTGTTATCGCATGTGGGGATTGATCCCACAACACTCAGCGCAGAAGGAAGCGGTTTGCTAACCGCTTATACCACTACGACATCCGTGCAGTCAATGCAACTGATTGAATTCTTATGGCATTTTGAACCTTATAATAACTAATCACGTTATTTTATAAAAGGTCTATAAAACACCTATATTAGGGTCGCTCATACTGTAGACGATTCTATGAATTATCTCTGTGAACATAAGGTTTTAAAACGCTGCGCTGCTAAAGTTACATGCTGCTGTCCGATTCCACCCAAGTTCGAATTGAGCCTAAAGCACTTAATAGTTGTAACACCCAAGTAATTGCAAGTTTAAATTTTCATTTGCCATAGATAGTTTTATGAGACAGTATAATAAGAAGTAATCACAGTGTTCGGTGGTTGTAATATCCTCTGGACTTACAAAGCTGTGAGCTTCCCTGTCTATCTACTTTCACGGTTAGTAGGTACCAGTCTTAGATTATTTATATATCTCAAATATTCAAAGAATATGATATAAATAAGCTATTTTTTAGTTCCTAAAGTGATACAGTAGTACTCTTATTAAAAAAAATAACAAGCTAATTTTTAAGAGAAATATTACGAGTAGCAGAAGGTGGCTTTTACATGATTCGTTTTTTAAAATGAACTGTCAGTAATGACAGTTACTTTTGAATGTAGACGAGGTTTTACTTTACTACTTTATGAGCGATACTGTCAGTAAACACTGAATAATTTTATTAAAAGGTAGCAATTTACTCTGTGTAACTTTAGACAAGTTTTCTCTTTTCACGCAGCTTGAAGGGCTGATAATTTTAACCACTGTCTATCAAAATGTGCAAACGATAATCGTTTCCATTTTCTAGAGAATTATGTTAAAAAAATTATTCTGTACCTGTTTATTACAATGTATTTCAATATTTATTGATTCGGTTTTAACTTCAAATTCGTACAGTCCCAGTAATTTTCATGTCTTCGGTTTCAAATTGATTACGTTCAGCTGTAGACTATAATTTCTTTAAGTATTATTTTGCTTTATAAAAGTCTCTTATTACACAAATACAATAACTTAATAACGGTTGGGATGTCTCTAATACCTTTTGGAAATATGCTGGCATGTGCTGACCATGACTTCATTAACCATAAGAATAAACTGTATAGTATTTCACACTGATATCACTAACGTCCTTATATCAATCCAACTCAAAGATTTCTTTCTCGTCACGTTTCATTAACAGACAGATTAAAAATATGTTCTGGCGGTATCAACCGGCCTCTTTATTTCGTAACGGCCTATGTAGTGCAGGACCTAAAGAGCATCGTTGTGAAATACTGAAATGCCAGAAGGCGCTAAGTGCCGGTCAAGGACAACGGATGTTGGAATTTCATATCGAGAGTACTCTGTGGTATACGGGCCACTTTTCGTTGCTAAGCTATCGTACAGAGATCGAGATTAGGCGATTCACATATTGAAATGTTATAAATCTATTTTCATTTCTTACATTTTTACTAATTGATGAGCTAAGTTCTTTTCTTGACACTAGTTTAAAAGTTGGTCAAATACAAAATTTACAGTTTATTTATTTTAATTATAATGATATTTCCTGCATGTAGCATAGGAATTATCTTCTAATTAACCTTTTCGGTAATACAGAACTGTGTGTAGAAGGTGTATAATTGAAACTAATAAGATGAATGACTAAGTCAAAAGGTGTTACAATAATTTACATACATAAAATGAAATTGAAAAACTAAAAAAAAACAAATTTGAAGAAAGTACTTGGAATTAACATGTTAAATACAAATCTTAAAATCATGGTTAAAATTGTTATCTACATCTCATTAATTGTCTTGATTCGAACTACCTTACTATAAGTGTTTCATGTCATGCATAGCATCATTCATCCAACTTGTATGCAACTTTAGACCTTACTAGGAGTCAAACCGAGCTACAAATAGTTGCTAGTCTGACTAGCACCTATGGCGCATGTGCTAAGGATCTATATTTCACGAATATTGGGCTCGGTTGTATTACTTTCAAATTTTGGCAACAAGTTAATTCGATTTATCTATAACGTTTTACAGACATGCTTGTATTGTACCGCTGTGCTATATAATTAAATTTTAATGCATGTGGTTTCGTTGCTCAAAATTTTAATGGAACGTTTAATAATCTATAATAATCGATCTTTATTTATATACCTAGGTAATTATCGTAGTCTAGGTGCGTAATCGTTACTTATTTACTGTATATATTACATATAAAATTTGCGCCTGATGTTTTTGTTTTAAACATGTGTTAGCACGATGTTAAATATGTCTGTAAATACTCTACATAAGGTTTGCAAGTATTTACATGTCACTCACATGAAACCTCCACAGTTAATTTAGTGTTGTTGTTCGTCATTATATTATTATTATGATTGGACTTTCACAACTTGGTCTTTTGTAACACAATTTAAAAAAAAATAGGAGCTTCTAATTCGGTTTTTTTTTTTTAAACAATTGTTTTCTTAGAATTCCGTCATTTATGAACCGATGAAAATTAATACAAAAATTTAATGCTTAAATTTAACGCAAGCTGATAAGTCCAATGAAAGAGATGATGACCTCAGCTGTAAAGATATCATGCAACTAGTTTCCCTAAATTTAAAGATGGCCGTAGTTTATTCTAATTGTTTCAATTAACCTGGGCATCAATCAGCTGTTTTATATCAACGCACAAGCCACTGTCGGGCTGTCAGTCCATTGACACTTCGAGGACACTCCCAAAAAATAAATATATGTTATTATTCTTTTGCTTGTTTGTAAATAAGATGTCATATGCATATGATAATATGTATTGGCAAACCTGAAAAAGTAAAGGATTCTTCAATATTTCATGTCTGTCCATATTCTTGGTGATTGGCAAATAACTTAGTCCCAACACCCACGGGGGAATTTTGCGACCGTGACTGTTTCGTAAAACTTGTTCGGTCCATAAACATCTATTTTGTAAATTTAATATCTTGACTACACATTACTATGTCTTTTAAATATATCATATAAATGTTAATGCCTTAACTATTCAATTGGTCATCACGAAATTTCGCACATTCGATCAAATAATATTAATAAAAATATTAATAAAAATGTAATTTATTTTCTTACTACAATACACAATTTACAACAAGCAGTTACTTATTAACTATACATAATTCAGGTAAGTATATATTGTAGGATACTGGTGCTTAAGCTAGGCTCTAGGTCTGTATTTCAGGACACCAGGTTCCAACCCCTTAACATTTCCGTTTCCTGGATGATGTACTAAAAGGACATAGGGTACCTATAACCTAGTAATAAAAAGGTACTGTTCTGTTCTGTTTTTTATGGAATAGAGGTCAACTAACCATACGCATCACCTGATGGTAAGTGACCACCCATAGACAACTCATGTGCGTCACCGTCCTTTGAGAGTCCGTGCTGAAATTGAAAGGCCCCGACCCGTCTCTCAATTGTGGCGCGTACTTCTAGTAATTATTTTATAATTTTGAAATGAGAGAAAAGACAAAAAACTAAGTGATAGCTTCTATGGTTGTCGCAGAGTGAAGTTGGCATAGAGTAAAAACAGTAGACAGAGTGAGAGTGGCAGAGTAGACAGTTCCAGAAAGCTTTAACCATAGATCAATATTACTTCCAACGGTAATTTCTCTCACTCGGTAGAAAACACAATAAAATAATCACTCAACATCGGTTTTCTGTGAGGCGGCCATATAAATTCAGGTCGAACAAGCCCTTTGATTAAATCTACATTCAGGTGGACATTTTTACGTGCTAAAGTCAAATATAATTCTTTAAATATAAACAACTTTTTTTTCTTTGTTCCAGGGCTTTTTATCAGCAAATGCAAAATGTTGGTGGGCTGGGGCTCTCGCGGCCGCTACGGCGGAGCTCCGGTACGCCGGCTACGTGTCTCCTGGGGTGTTACTGGTGGCTGGTGCTCCCAGGGCCCTGGAGACCGTCAGAGGGGCTTACGCCAGGTCTGTGCTGAAGCCACCACCGACCTACCTTATTTGTGGACTTGGTGAGTACTAGCTAATAGAAATGATATAATGCATTTATAAAATAAATGTAGGTACATGTTTTTGCTGCAGACATAATTATTTTCATGCGGGATTTAAAATAATATAAGGTTGCAGAGCGAAGATAAATAATTAAATACGAGTATACTTACATAAAGTATAAATATTTTGATATACATAGATACATAGAGAACCCTTACTTTGTATTAGAAGGACGTAACACTTATTATTCCCTACCTATCTTTTTGCCACCGTTGGCTCAATTTTAAATTGTAGTTCGTACTACGCTCACCTACTGGAAGTGGCACTGATGTCAGTTTCGGAGGTTCTCAACCAAACTTGTCAGTAGTAGATTCGAGCGCTCCTTCACAGATCACATTTCGCAAACGGAAGCTGTTTGACGACAATGATCCAATTAGAGCTGAATTATCCGAAATTCGAAAACAAATGTCCGAGATGATGGCCATTCTAACATCTGTTAAAAACAACCAAACGGACAACACCAATAAACTTTATGAAGAAGTAACGTCTATAAAAAACCATATTAATGCCATAAATAACACAATGGAGAAAATTGCCGTTGAAAATAACTATCTTAAAACTAAACTGATAGGTTTGGAAACTATCACCGAAAAATCTCAGAAAAAAATTAATCTTTTAGAAGCGGATGTTAATAAGCTTAAAACCTCACCTCCTATAGCTTCAGCTGCCCAAGGACTCCAACCACACATAACTTACGAAGAGATGGTAAATGAACTACAAGAGCGAAAGTTAAGATCCAAAAATATCATAATACATGGAATAGTTGAAAGTACCATAAAGTTAGCCGCCGAACGACAAGAATATGACAAAAAAGAGACTTCAAAAATAACTAAACAAATTTTTGCTGACTGTCCCCAATCAGAAAAAACATTCCGTCTTGGAAAATACAAACCAGGCCATACGCGAGCAGTTAAAGTGTGTTTCAACTCAACGGATATACCAAAAATAATTCTACGCAATAAAAACAATCATGATTTAGCCAACATCAAAATATACGCCGATCAAACTCTCATCCAGCGAAAATACTTGCAGACCTTAATAGATGAGCTCCATAAACGTAATGCTAATGGAGAGATTAATCTTCGAATCAAGTACATCAAAGGTATTCCGAAGATAATAACTATGACGGACAATCACCCAGCACTCGTGGAATCAACTTCAAAAAACTAACTTCTCAAGGCAAAATCACCTACCAAGTCATAAACAAATATACAGATGTTGAATATGATAAGAAGTCGCTAAAATTCTTCTACGTTAATGCTGGGAGTATCGTACGGCCCGGCAAATTTGATGAATTACAATGTATTCTTGCATCCTTTCAAACTTCCATGCACATGATCATACTTACTGAAACCTGGTTTAAAAATGAAGAGATGGCCAAAAGATTTCAAATACCAGAGTACACACATTACTATAACTTCAGAAAAGACAAACGAGGAGGTGGAGTTTCTATCTTTGTACATAACAACTTAAAGCACCACCCAGTAGAAGACTACTGCATTCAACATAAACACTACCTATGGATACATGTTAGCAAGTTTTGTTTGGATATCGGTGCCATTTACAACCCTGATAAATCCAATATGGCTGACTTTATCGAGACCTATTCCCACCAATTAGGCACCAAAAGGAGAGCTATAGTTTTTGGAGACTATAACCTTGACCTTTTGGATCCAAATAATTTATATACTCGAAAATACAAGGACACGCTAAAAGAAAATGGCTTCAAGATATTGAATAAAATCAACGAAAAGTACTGTACACGTGAAACCACGACCACCAAGACTATTATAGATCATGTTTGTTCTAACTTGAAAGACAATGATTTTCATTTTGCTATCATAGAATCTGCGATGTCAGACCATAAACAAATATTCTTTGAAGTAAAACGTTACCAACCTACTCCTCTCAAGAAAACCAACTATACTGCCATTGACTACACTAAACTGTATAAGTATATTGAGGACAACCCTGTAAATACAGAGAAAAAGGTGTACGAGAGACTTCATGAGAAGATACTTCTAGCTCTAAGTAAGAGCAAAATCATTAAAACTAAAACACTGAATCCACCACAGATAGATTGGATCAATGGCGATATTATCCAGGCTATTAACAACAGGAACAAACTATGGAAGGCTTTTAAAACAAATGCATCAAACTTAGAACTAATGAGAGATTACGAAAAAGCTAGGGTAGAAACAATTCGAAAAGTACAGAAGGCGAAAAGTGAATATTACCTAAAATGTTTTGAAGAACGTATGACAAAGCCTCGTAAATTGTGGAAACTCATCAACGACCTTTCCAAAAACAAAATAAAAGACAACAGTGGGCCGGACAAACTCGTCATTGATACTAACATTGTCACAGATGAACTTGAAATCAGCGAACAACTCAATACCTACTTTTCAACTATTGGCTCAGCTTTAGCAAACTAAATACCGTATAAATACAAAACTAATAGATACGACACAGGAAACATAGCTGTAATTAGTGATGCAACTGAACTAAACCATTTAAAACCGACAACTACTGATGAAATAATAAAAATAATAGATAAATTGGATCCCAATACTGGCTCTGGTATAGATGGTATAAGCACTAAAGCGATTAAATGTATCAAAAACTTAATATTAGAAGAACTAACGTTTTGCATCAATGAAAGTTTTGAAATTAGCACTTTCCCTAGTAGCCTAAAGATAGCCAAAGTTATTCCTATCTATAAATCCGGCAACAGGTTTGACCCTTGTAATTATCGTCCAATTTCGGTACTTCCAGTTATCTCTAAAATTTTCGAAAAAGTGATCTACATACGCCTGGAAACCTTCTTAAAATCAAAAGACTTTTTTTATAGTAGACAATATGGTTTTCGTCCACTTTCAAATACTCTTTCGGCCACTATTGATTTAATCACCAAAATTAAGAATAAAATTGATCAAAAACAAATAGTGCTAGGCATCTTTATTGATCTTAAAAAGGCGTTTGATACAATAAGCCACGAGATATTATTGCAGAAACTCTTTAATCTAGGTATTAAAGACAAAGCGCTAAGAATATTAACATCTTACTTAAGCGGCCGTGAGCAAATAGTAAAAATCGGGCAACATCACAGCTCTCCTAAGTATCTTACTTACGGAGTTCCTCAAGGTTCAATCTTGGGACCACTTTTGTACTTAATTTATATCAATGACATATCCCAAATTGGACTTAAGGGCGATATTTCACTTTATGCAGATGATACATGCCTATTTTATTACGGCCATTCTGTCGATGCTATGAAACCCCTAATTCAGAATGATTTAAACATGTTAAATGATTGGTTCCAACATAATTTACTAACTATAAATACCAAAAAAACAAACTATGTCATTTTTGCAGCCAAAAACAAAAAAATAATTGATAACATACCACTGATCATAAATAACGAACCAATCAAGAGAAAGACATATGAAAGATATCTTGGCCTCATTCTGGACACTCGCCTGAGCTGGAAACCCCAAATAGATAAAATTAAAAATAAACTTATTTCACTGACGGGTTGCCTATTCAGTATAACTAAATGTATTCCTCACAAAGTCCGATACCTTATTTATAACTCTCTAGTCAAACCACACATTGATTATTTAGTGGAAATATGGGGAACCGCGGGTAAAACTATATTAGATGACTTACAACGAAAACAAAATAAATTAATAAAGGTTCTTTTTAGATACAACTTTCGTACTCCCACTGAAAAAATATACGAGGACACCAAAATAATGACCATAAAGCAAACTTATATATACTACACGTGTATATTGGTACGTAAAATATTAAACAGAAATATTCATACTAGTTTATCTTTTACTAGTTTATCGGCAAAAAATGAAACTAAGAAACGCTACCCATCTTGTAACTCGACCACCCAGAACGAACTATGGAAAGAAGAACATTGAATTTGAAGGAGTAAAGATATACAACAAATTACCATTAAATATAAAAAATGCTACTACATTGACTACATTTAAAAAAACATTGAAGAAACACATAGCAGCTACTTATTAGTTAATACATTATTATTGTACTAAAACATTCACAATCAAATAAACTAATAAGGATAAAAACAATTCTATATGCACATAATATTCGTGTGTGTGCGTATGTGTGTGTGTGTAAGTGCATGCAGGGTATGTGCATGTATGTGTGTATGTTTGTATGTATATGTATGTGTATATGTACGACTATGCATATGTGTATGTTTTTATATTTACAAATATAAATCTTAATAAATAAATCAAAAAAACTAAAAAAAATAAAAAATAAAACAAAATCTCAAGTCTCAATCAAGTATCAAAAAAAAAAAAAAAAAAGAATTCAGTAATAAAAATAGAAGTGTACTTACCATCTGGATGCCACATCTAGTTAATAATTTCAAGTTACATCTTTGGTTCAGTTGCTTGGATTCCCATTGTTTTCTGTGTTCGAGTGTTTTGCAAGTTCGTAATCTTACGCAAAATATATTTTACTACCCACTTTTATTTTATATTATATTCAAACGCTCAATGGATTTATTTTTTACTTTTATGTATGTTTTCTCAGTAAGTGAATTTTGTAAATTCTTTTGAGAAATAAAGATTCTTAAACCACAGTTCTAATTTGAGCTTTCCTCTTTCGAAATATCCTCTTTTACTCTTTAAAAACTTTGATAGCCATTTCGATAATGTAATGCAATTAATCAGAACATTAATTAATACTTGTAAGTTATGTACCAGTTTTAAAGTAGGCTGTTATATATTTTATAGCCAATAATTATGATTGTTGGTACCAAGCCTCTTATATTAATTTAATTATGAAAAGTAATTAAATAATAAAAGTGTAACATGTTTTGTATGTGTGTGGCAGTATTGCGTTTTTTGTATGAATGCTATGTGCAAATGTGAGCGTGTGCGTGTATGTTTTTTTATATTTAATCTCCGCTTCATCA